GGGCCACGTGTGACAGTCAGACAGTCAGACAGTCCTCCCTGCGGCCACGTGTGACAGTCAGACAGTCGGACAGTCCAGCCTGCAGCCACATGTCAGTCAGACAGTCCAGCCTGCAGCCACGTGTGACAGTCAGACAGTCCAGCCCGCAGCCACGTCTTGCCTTTGTGAATATTGATGAGTCAGTGAGCCAGAGTCACGTGTTAACTATATGTCACATGTGTCCAATAAAATAGGAACAAGATAAGTGTTGTACAGAAGCAGAAAGTGTTGGGGGCACATTGCCTGCTCTTTGATTTGTTTCACACAGTTCTGTTTTGTCGTAGGAGATAGCTGTTACCTTGATTTCAAATATTGTTTTTTGACTGAATGCTTTGGATCTGTTGAAGAAACATTGGAGAAAATGTATTGGAGTGTTGTGTCAGTAGTGGTCATGTGTCAGTGTGTGTCATGTGTCAGTGTGTGCCATGTGTCAGTGTGTGTCATGTGTCAGTAGTGGTCATGTGTCAGTGTGTGTCATGTGGCAGTAGTGGTCATGTGTCAGTGTGTGTCATGTGTCAGTAGTGGTCATGTGTCAGTGTGTGTCAGTAGTGGTCATGTGTCTGTGTGTGTGTGTCTGTGTCAGTAGTGGTCATGTGTCAGTAGTGGTCATGTGTCAGTGCGTGTCAGTAGTGGTCATGTGTCTGTGTGTGTGTCTATGTCAGTAAAGGTCATGTGTCAGTAGTAGTCATGTGTCTGTGTGTCAGTAGTGGTCATGTGTCGGTAGTGGTCATATGTCAGTAGTGGTCATGTGTCAGTGTGTGTCAGTAGTGGTCATGTGTCTGTGTGTGTGCCTGTTTCTGTAGTGGTCATGTGTCAGTAGTGGTCATGTGTCTGTGTGTGTGTCTGTTTCTGTAGTGGTCATGTGTCAGTAGTGGTCATGTGTCAGTGTGTGTGTCTGTTTCTGTAGTGGTCATGTGTCAGTAGTGGTCATGTGTCTGTGTGAGTGTCTGTTTCTGTAGTGGTCATGTGTCAGTGTGAGTGTCTGTGTCAGTAGTGGTCATGTGTCAGTGTGTGTCAGTAGTGGTCATGTGTCGGTGTGTGTGTCTGTCTGTGTCTGTGTGTGCATCTGTCTGTGTGTGTCTGCGTCTGTCAGCGTCTCTGAGTGTGTCTGTGTATGCGAGTGTTGTGTCTATCCCATGTGTCTGTGTCTGTGTGTGCGAGTGTTGTGTCTATCCCATGTGTCTGTGTCTGTGTGTGCCTGTGTCTGTGTGTGTCTGTGTATGTGTGTGCGAATGTTAAGTCTATCCCATGTGTCTGTGTGTGTCTGTCTGTGTCTGTGTGTGCGAGTGTTGCGTCTATCCCATGTGTCTGTGTATGAGTGTCTGTGTGTGCGAGTGTTGCGTCTATCCCATGTGTTTGTGAGTGTGTGTCTGTGTGTGCGGGTGTTGTGTCTATCCCATGTGTCTGTGTGTGTGTGTCTGTGTGTGCGGGTGTTGTGTCTATCCCATGTGTCTGTGTCCTTGTGTGTTTCTGTCTGTCTGTCTGTGTCTGTGTGTGTGAGTGTTGCGTCTATCTTATGTGTCTGTTTGTGTGTCTGTGTGTGTCTGTGTGTGTCTGTGTCTGTGTGTGCGAGTGTTGCGTCTATCCCATATGTCTGTGTGTGTGTCTGTCTGTCTGTGTCTGTGTGTGCGAGTGTTGCGTCTATCCCATGTGTCTGTGTGTGTGTGGCTGTCTGTGTGTCTGTCTGTCTGTGTCTGTGTGTGCGAGTGTTGCATCTATCCCATGTGTCTGTGTGTGTGTGTCTGTCTGTGTGTCCGTCTGTCTGTGTCTGTGTGTGCGAGTGTTGCGTCTATCCCATGTGTCTGTGTATGAGTGTCTGTGTGTGCGAGTGTTGCGTCTATCCCATGTGTTTGTGAGTGTGTGTCTGTGTGTGCGGGTGTTGTGTCTATCCCATGTGTCTGTGTGTGTGTGTCTGTGTGTGCGGGTGTTGTGTCTATCCCATGTGTCTGTGTCCTTGTGTGTTTCTGTCTGTCTGTCTGTGTCTGTGTGTGTGAGTGTTGCGTCTATCTTATGTGTCTGTTTGTGTGTCTGTGTGTGTCTGTGTGTGTCTGTGTCTGTGTGTGCGAGTGTTGCGTCTATCCCATATGTCTGTGTGTGTGTCTGTCTGTCTGTGTCTGTGTGTGCGAGTGTTGCGTCTATCCCATGTGTTTGTGTCTGTCTGTGTCTGTCTGTGTGTGTCTGTCTGTGTGTGTCTGTGTGTGCGAGTGTTGTGTCTATCCCATGTGTCTGTGTGTGTGTCTGTCTGTGTGTGTCTGTGTGTGCGAGTGTTGAGTCTATCCCTTGTGTCTGTGTCTGTGTGTGTGTCTGTCTGTGTGTGCGAGTGTGGCGTCTATCCTATGTGTCTGTGTCTGTGTATGTCTGTCTGTGTGTGTCTGTCTGTGTCTGTATCTGTGTGTGTCTGTCTGTGTGTGTCTGTCTGTGTGTATCTGTGTCTGTGTGTGCGAGTGTGGCGTCTATCCCATGTATCTGTGTCTGTGTGTGTCTGTCTGTGTGTGTCTGTGTCTGTGTGTGTCTGTGTCTGTCTGTGTGTGTCTGTCTGTGTGTGTCTGTGTCTGTGTGTGCGAGTGTGGCGTCTATCCCATGTGTCTGTGTC